GAAGATTCTAGTCGAAACTCAGACTGGCAGAAAGGTTAAGAGGTTGAGAACCGACAATGGCCTTGAATTCTGCAACGAAACTTTCGATAGTTACTGTGTTGGGTCTGGGATTGCAAGGCATAAGACTCTAGCAGGTACTCCTCAACAAAATGGCTTAGCTGAGAGATTCAATCGAACAATCCTTGAAAGGGTTAGATGCATGTTGGTTAGTGCTGGATTGAAGAAGGTGTTTTGGGCGGAAGCTGTTTCGACAGCAGCTTACCTGATAAATAGATGTCCCTCGACTGCCTTGGGAATGAAGACACCTGAAGAAGTTTGGTCGGGACATCCACCTAGTCTCGACAGACTGAGAGTATTTGGTTGTGTGGCCTATGCTCATATTAGGCAAGACAAGGTCGAACCTAGAGCTCTGAAATGCATGTTCATGGGATACCCTGAAGGAGTCAAAGCTTATAGGCTATGGTGCCTAGAGCCAGGTCACAGGAGGTGTATCACCAGTCGAGATGTAGTTTTCAACGAAGCAGAGATGACTTTTAAGAAAACTGATGATGTTGACGAAGAGCTGGAACAGGGAGAGATTCCTGTTGAGGTGGAGCATGTTGATGTTGAATTGCTTACCCCAGATGAAGTCGAAGAAGACACAGAAGATGTTGTCGAAGATGAGGAGACTGATAATGACTACCTGCTAGCAAGAGACAGGTCGAGGAGAGTCATCAAGCCACCTCAGAGACTTGGGTATGCAGATCTTATAGCTTATGCCTTAATCTCTGCAAGTGAGGTTCTAGACGAAGAACCTAGAGACTATAAGGAAGTTATGAGGAATCAAAAGAAGACAAATTGGTCTTTGATGTATACTATGGTCTGTACTAGACCCGACATAGCATATGCAGTAAGTCTTGTAAGCAGGTACATGGCGAATCCTGGAAAGGCTCACTGACAATCATTGAAGTGGATTTTAAGGTACATAAATGGGTCTCTGAATAGAGTCCTAATTTATGGTGGAGCCTTGGGTGAAGATAGTAAAGCAGTAATCGAAGGATATGTCGACTATGATTATGCAGGTTGTATGGATTCTAGAAAATCTATCTTCGGATATGTGTTCACTATGTTTGGGACAGCAATCAGTTGGAAAGCAACACTTCAGAAGGTCGTTGTCTTATCAACCACTGAAGCGGAGTATATTGCTCTAACTGAAGCTGTGAAGGAAGCAGTGTGGCTTGAAGGTTTTGCAAAGGAGCTAAAACTTCAAGGTCGAGTTATCACTGTTAAATGTGATAGTCAAAGTGCAATACATCTGTCGAAGAATTCAGCCTATCATGAGCGAACCAAGCACATTGATGTGAGGCTGCATTTCATCAGAGGGGTAATCGAGCGTGGAGAAGTCCAAGTGCTGAAAGTTTCGACAGATCATAATGCTGCTGATATGATCACCAAGATATTGCCCAGTTGCAAGTTTTTCCACTGTATGCAGTTAATAAAGCTGCATGAAGAAATCTAGTTTCTTGATGTTATAGAGTTAGATCCAAGGTGGAGATTTGTGAGATGTTGGATCGAACTCTAGTGTTGTCGAAGTCTGTTCGCAAGTAATGCGTGTTGTAGTCGAAGTTTGTTCTAACATGCATTAGTAAATATTGCTAAGGTTGTTAGCATGAGTAAATATTGCTAAGGTTGTTAGCATGAGTAAATATTGCTAAGGTTGTTAGCATGAGTAAATATTGTTAGGGTTGTTAGCATGTTGAATTGGGTCTTGCTTGTAAGCCCAATTGTTTAAGTTAGCTTGTACCCTAAGTTAGCTTGTAATGGGTAATTGTTAAAAAGCCCATTAGGTTAGTGTGCTATTTTATTATAAATAGGATGCTAGTTTCTCAATCTTGAGAAAAAGGAAAAATAGGAAGATAAAATCCTAATTTCAAGGGAGAGAGGTTATTTTGTTATTCTTGTATACGTGTAATCTTGTTCTAAGAGAAAGGAAAGAATAACAGTTTAATAACCAATCCTTGTTGTTCCTTGTTGTTTTACCTTGTTTTCTTTGTTAACCCTAATCCTTGTGAGTTTCTTGATCATTAAGAAACCGTTTATACTTTGTTTAAAAGTATCCGATTCACAACAATGGATAAAAGGGTTATGTTATAGGTGTTTGAAACAAAAAGTGAATATTTGTCCGAAAGTGTACAAAATAGTGAATGATTAGCCGGATTGTCAAAAACGACAATGAATATAATGAAAAAATAAACAGATAAAAACCTTCTTCCTTGATCTTTGCATATTGTAAGACAATTATAGTATGTGACAAAGTTTTTTTATTTACATAATATTTCAAAGATTTCAATGCATAAACTTTCTAGAGTGTGCAATTGATTGTGTTATTCTTATGAAAATTGATATTAGTAAATGTTTGACACAAATAGAGTAAAACGTGGAAAGTGAGAAATAAAGTAATAAATGGAAGAAAAAAAATATAGTACAAACCTTAAATTCTTTAAGATTAAATTGACCTATTGTTTTTTACTTGGTGACTGAAATTGCGTGTAGCAAATGTTATCAACCATCCTAATAACATCGTATTAGTGTTTAGTACAATATCAACAAATGGTTTGATGTGCAACTTTACAGACAGAAAGCACAAATGGTTTAGAGTAAAGTTTACCTTTTAAGCTATACTTGTTCCATTTTCCAAAAATAATACCAGGAAATAGTTTGAAATGCAACTTTAGATCAGATATTGTATGTTTGTTGGCATTTAAAACTCTGGTTCCACCAACAAACTTGAAAATATATTTATGATCAGGTGTCTTGAACATTAAGTCCATTCTTTTGAACTTGAAAAATAATTAGGACCTAATCAAATGTTACTTATAGAACGTTGGAATGATGACATGAATAACAGTTCCCTATAAATTTAAAAAGCTGCATAAAAAAGGTAAAGTATTTATAATGAAAAAAGTGATTTAAAAAACTACAAAATAATATTTGGACACAAATGTCCCTGTTTTGGTGATGTGACCGAAATTAAAGGGCAAAAATGTATTTTCAAGAAGACATACTTTATCTTAAATCGGAAGACTTGTAGTGCCGAACATTTCTCATATTCAATTTGAGGCTGAGGTAAGGTGGACCCAGTATTTTTTACCACCATCATAGGTCATGATCTAATTGTAGACCTTTCACACTAGATCCCTCTCCATAATGCTCTAGTTGTTAACTCCACCAGAAACACCCTCCTTGGTCTAGATCTTGCAATACTCTCCCCATCAAGCAAAAACTTCAACACCAACTATCCAAGAATAAACATGCATCATAATTTCTCATAGCTCTCTAGATACTGTTATCGCATTATAAAACCATAAGAACAATAAATAAGAAATCCATCCATCATAAATTGAAATAGAGCTGCTTCAAAGTAAACATTACAAAAACAGGAAATAGATCCCTGTATATGCCAGAGAGACATAAGGGGATGCATGATAAACAACATCATAATTATAAACTAAAATTACAACAATCATAAACTAAAAATACAAATACAACAGTTACAACTCAAACCAAAAGCACCAGATAAAAATCTGATCATATAACAAGGGAAATCCATCCTCAATTCAACACCATTTTAAACTTCAGTGAAAATGCAGAAAACTTCATAACTAAAGAAGTTTCATGCCTTAATTGTTACACTGCACAAGCACATCCCAGATGGCCTTATGTCTGAAGTTTGCCATTCTGATCCCATAGCTGCATTTGGATCATATAACAGTGTTTGATTAGTAGGTTTTTTTTCAACTGGAAATAGCAACAGCTTTCCATCTAGTATGCCGAATCGAAAGCCGACACTCGAGCTCCCTGTCAATGGAACGGGCACCATTGTCCATGAGTTGTTTTCTGGACTGAATATTGACAGCTTCCGCTGGTCCTTCCACTCAATACAGAACAACTTCTTTTCCAATACTGCATGAGCTGTGACCATGACACAACCATTCTTAATGTTGCACCAGCTGTGCTTCTCGGGGTTATATATATCAACGGACTTAGAGTTTCCAATAGTAAAGCTTGACCTTCCACCCATGACATAGAGCTTACCTTCTAATCCACAAGCAAAGCAACCCCACCTTGGGCGACGAAGACTCTCTATCAGGATCCATTTATCAGTATCTGGATCATACATCTCAACACTAGAGAGACTGTCACCATTCACTCCATAGCCTCCAGCAATATAAACCAAGCCGTTCACTTCAGCACAAGCGAAGTCATAACGGGCCACATTCATGTTTGATAATCTGCTCCAACTGCAAATGCAATTGACCATAAGAGACAACAATGTTTCGAAAATTACATATAGTACAATAGATCTACGTTAACTAACTAATATTAGAGAATATAATTATACCTGTTAAGGTAAGAGTCATATTGGTAAACCTCTGATGAGGCAACGGCGGTTCCTTCAACGCCTGAATAACCAGCCATGATAAGAAGCTTTCCATTAAGAACCACAACCCCAAACGAAGCCTTTCCTGGACCAGGCATCGGTGGAAGGGATAGACATTTATGATTGAGATTATCTATGACCTCCCAATGGCTTTCCTTCCCTTCACTGTCCATTGTCAAGAAATAGAGCCATTCCTCAAGCAATCCTGCCAATTTTCGCACCATTACAAATTCTTTGCTTCGAATAAACAACCTCCATTTCTTACAGACACCACCCATGGCGGGGAAGTTGGAACGGGGAACAAGTGCAAGACAATGTTTTGCTACATCATCAGGCAGCCCAGGTAGAATAGGGCTATAATCTTTCTCCAGAGTCTCAGCGGTTAAACTATGATTGCTTTTGCTTCCTTTGTGAGTTGATTTATCTTGGTTGACCAAATTGGTGAAACACATATTTGACTTAATAAATCTCTTTTTTCCAACAATAAAGCCAGGCATTTGTCAGATGTAGCACGAGAATTTAGAGAGAATTAACCAAATAATGCTCAAAATGATTTTACTGAGAATCCAAAATTGTATAACTAAAGAAATTCATGAAATCCTTCACCAATTGGGATTCTACCAGACCAAGGCATAAAAGATGTTGCAGAACTAATCACTTGAGCAGTATAATCGGATGATTTTTGATGCTGTGTCCAGTCTGATTCAAATTCCATAACAGTGGTTTTTCTCTTACAGCGATTCTTCTGAGATGCTTTCTGCCAATTATTTCTCAAGCGGCTAACGTTAGATCCTTCCTCGCACAAATCCCGAATATCTACAATCATGACAAAGAGTGTTATATTTGAAGATACAAATAGAAATTAACCAATTTTCATCCCATCAACAAAATCATGAAAACATAATAAATAAACACAGGGACACATACCAGAACAGGCCATAGAAGTTGCCAAGACTTAGCCACCCTTAACTTCCATTTTCTTCGATTCAACGCCAACTGAATACATCAGACCACGGAGTCAAAGAAGAGTCAAAAGCAAGGTTTTAAGAAACCGCGAAAATGAAGAAACGGTATCGGAATGTGCCGATCCAGATACCGTTATTCACCGTTTTTGTGATAAATAACAAATTGTGTTAATTCACACAGTGACGACCACAAAAAAAGTTGCAACATCTATACCGACAGAAATCCTGAAAGTCTTTACACGGCTGTTATCTAAAACCTAGGTCAAAAGCTAAGCATATTTAGCCACCAGATCTAACTTTGATACATTCAAATTCAACAGATCCACCGAACCAGGGTCAAAATTACGAAAACAAGTATCGCATTTTTCCAACTTCATTGGTCAATGCAATACAATACAAAATCAAAGTCTAGTTTCATTTAATATACACACCACAAAAACAAATAGTAATCCACGTAGGAGCCGAAAATCTTGCGTGAATTTAGCAGTAATTGTGAGCCAATAAAAGTTTAATGAGCGATAGATCAATAATATAGAAACAGAAATATAGGGATAGATAAAAAGAAGTAGATAAAAGAAGAGGAACTTACGGGAAAATGAAGGTGCAGATTTAGGATGAGAAAAAGGAGGTTTGTGTGGTGAAGGTGGATATAGTAAATGGAAAATGGATAGGGATAGATAGGAGAATGTGTGTGGTAAGAAGGGAAGGGTATTTATAGGAGTGGGAGTAAAGTTGTTGGCAGAGGATAACGCTCAAATGATGCGAGTTGGAACGGAAAAATGGTGAGGAGGCAGAACATCGTTGTCCGTAAGTAGTAGGTTTAGCTGTGCTCCCAATATTAAGGAAATTATTTTATTAGTACTATAAGCTTCTTATTATTTTATTTTTTTTAACTAAATTTTTTTTACTACCCATACATTTAAGTTGGATACAATAATATTTTAAAAACTAACATAATAAAGTGAATAATCAAGGTACTTAAATTTATTTTGTTGTTTCAATTTTTTTTTCCACTAACGTATGTTATTTATTTTGAAATATATAATATTTATAATTAAAAATTATAAAATATAAAATCAAATTTTAATTTTTTATAAATAACTATCACTAAAATAAAAATAATTCAAATAAACTATAAATTTTTTAAATCTTACAAATTACATTAAGCCTACAAAAAATATTTTAGTTTATCTATTAAAATATTTCCACTAAAAATTATCTAAATCTATCAAATAGATAAATTGAGTAATAATTTATTAAATTGAATTAAAATATTACTTTCTATATATATATACAGCTACGTTATTTTGGCATTTATTTTTCAAACGCCTTATGTTACACCGTACGTTTTAACAAAAGACAAATATTATAGCACAAATTTCAAGACAAAATAAATTATTATAAAATAGAACTTGTATATTATATGTATAGATATTCAGTGTTGGTGTATGAAAGGGTGTCAATATATTATTTCATATATATATATATATATATATATATATATATATATATATATATATATATATATATATATATATATATATATATATATATATATATATATATATATATATATATATATATATATGAACTAGCTTAAAAGAGAGATACATTGAGTTTAAAATAAATTGCAACGATTTTAAGCCTCGGTGATACATATTATTTTTAGAAGTCAACAAATATGTAGATGGTCTTGTTAGAATTGGAGTGAATATCAGAAAATATATTCGTGTTTTTAGTGAATGTCCTAATGATATTTATGAGTTTTATGTAACTAAATTAGTTAGTAGCTCATCATACATAAAAGTGTAATTGTTTGATTTTTTTTTCTCTAGCCTTTATCAATGTAAAAAATAAAAAATAAGAACAAATGACATTCTATTCTTATTACTTATTATTACAATTGAAATATTTAATATTAGCAGCATGATTAGTCTGACAAAAATTAATTTTAACTTAAATGTAATGACATTTTTGTTGTTATCAAAAAACTAAAAAATTTGCAAAAAATAAGACAAAAATTTGCAAAATAATAAGACAAAAATCTGTCAATTTAATGACTTGAAATACTGTCGAACTTCCTTTATGAGACTGAAAGCATTAGAATTGAATAACATGTGGACCAACCTCATTTAGAAGAACGTAAGACCATCTTTAACGGTGGTTTTTCAAATTGGTTTGCCAACTTGACATTGAAATTGTCAACAAAAAGTTGTTCCAACTGGTGAACGTTTCTTGTATAAACAATGGTTCTTATTTTTTTTATTATTAAAATAATTATTTAACTTGTTGGTTTTATTTTTTTTTTAACTTTTTTTATTTATTATAAATATAAGTTTGTTGCAAAAATTTATAACAATCCTATTTTCTCTCACTTTTATTTACTCTTTAATTTTAAATTTCTCTCTCTCACAATTTCATCATTTTATTCATAAATTATTATTTTCAATTTTATGTTTAATTTTAATTTTATGTTTAATTTATATTTATAGTAATTAAAATTTAAATATTTAAATTATAATTTTAAATAAAATAAATTTAATATAAATAATATATTTAAGTAAAGTAGTGGGACCCAATATGGGTTCTTTGAAGTTGCACCATTGGAGTGAAAATTGAATAAGTTATTTTAGAAGAGTGGGTCCCACAAAGAACCTAAAAATGGATTGCACCATTGGAGGTGCTCTAAGAGAATTCTCAACCATTGGAATACACTACTTTAAATTTGCAAATATATATATATATATATATATATATATATATATATATATATATATATATATATATATATATATATATATATATATATATATATATATATATATATATATATATATATATATATATATATATATATATATATATATATATATGTTGACTATTCTCCTATTTTCTGCATCCGCTAGCACACTTAATTGATCTTAACGATAATATTTTTCATCTCTCAATGTTGTTTTTAGTAAGATATTGTTGTTTATCAGCTTTCGTGCAAATTGAAACAATTTCAGTGGCATAATTTTGTTTCATATGATCTCTTAGATTGATTTAAGATTAAATTGGTCTTCATGAACTAGAATATGATATCACTCCTTCACTAATTAGGAGTTTGTGCCCAGTAGATAGTAGCATTATTCTGCAAAAATAAATGGTATACAACAAAGAGCAACACTTTGCCACCAGCTCCTCCTCTCGGATGAAAAGTCTTATTCTCCAACTCCACCATAGACCTTCGGGCTCTCGTCCTAATCTTCGCATCGCTGAAACTTAAATATTATCGTTCGTCGGCAACTCATAAACTCAACAGAACTTTGAACATAAATTATTGCTCTCCAACTAATGATAATTTCAAAAGGATGTTTATTCTCGATTGCCCACCGACCGACCTAAACAGACATTTAACCGCTGACCTCTATTCACCCACATTCTCTCCCTAACTCTAGATAAACCTCTCCACCATACTAACGTCATACTACCTCTATTTTTAGTACGACAAGCAATTACTCTATATTTAGCTGCTAGAACCACGTGCCACAAACCATTTTGATCAATGTGCATTGTCCACTATTGGATTCCTATCAATGCTAAATTGAATTCTTTCATCCTTCGAACTCCCAACCCATATTCTTCCGTGTCCAAACACACTTTATCCCACTTAATTCAATGTATCTTAGTAACATCATCATTTCTCCCATAAGAAGACTTAAATAAGGGTTCAACAAAAGAAATAATACGTATATAAGCCACACAAAAAAGGAAAAAAATCGAAAAAAGATGTTAAAGTTAAATTTGATTACTCCAAGACGACCGCCTATGGACATGTTTTTGCTTTGCCATTTTGATAACCTCTTTTTTTATTCTCTTCCAACATAGGATTTTAGAATAGGTGTACCTAAGAATTTCCTCGACGGGGAGAGCGAGATAGAGAAATAGAATTTGACCAATTTTACAATTTAGCACCACTGAAGTCTGAATCAGCCATAAATTTGCAATATTAACACCGACCAACATACTCTTGTGGAAAGTTACCCTTAAATCCGAGATCATTTCAAAGAGAATCAAATTTACCTTTAAAGATCTAATATGTTTCCATCTTTTTTGCACAGAATCAAAGTGTCATTGGGAAATTACAAGTGAGATATTCTAAAGTCAGTGTCATTGTCAATCTTATACCCCATTAAAATACTGGTAATGACAGAGGGTCACCTTGCGTCAATCCCCTCTTCATCATTAATTCATCATAAGACTTTTGTTGACGAAAGCCGATATTATGGCCGATTAAAGACACTTCAATATCCATTTCCTCCATCTCTCTAATAACCCCACATTTTCTATCACACAATTCTAAAATATTTATTCAAAAACACTTATTTGCCTTAAAATCCACTTTAACATTATTTACTTTCTTTTTTTTTTAAACTATTAAACATGTTGTTTTAAAAAAAAATTTATGCACTAAGTTATTTTTAACATCATACATTTTTTATTGTAATTTACGTGGTATAAAAATTCTATAAAATTTTATTTTTTAAATAAATTTTTATATTGAAAAAAATGACAATCTAATTGAATTAAATAACATGTTTTTATATCAATTTATTTTAATTCATATTTTGCAAAAGAATATTATAAAAGTTGAATAAAATCTTCTATTTCAATCTTCTTTTTAAGTATTGTTTACTCGCATCTCTATGATGCAGGTTGAAAATTTGAACAGAAAAGAAATTATATTAAAAAATAGAATATGTTTACATTAAAGAATATAAGATGTGACTGTCCCTAATGGTAACATATCTCCTAACAAAAATATCGTGTCTGTCGTATTATATCAATTATTGATTAGCTGATTATAATAAAAAGCTTTTTTGCTTATAATAATAAATGTTTGTTGACAAATTTGCAAATAATTTTCGGTCTTCTTTTGCCTTTGTTTTCATTCCCATTTTAGCCTCTAGTTCTCCGGGTATATGATAATATA